TCACCAGTAACCAATAAAAGTACAATTTTGCAATGCATTGGTATTGGAGGGCTGTGACATTTTATAGACCTCGACCAGTTTGACCTTAGGAGTTTCTTATCGGACATTTAAAGGAAATGTGGGCTTTTTTTTCTTTTTTAACAATTTAAAACGGTTATATCTTGCTGGGCCAATGGTGAGTCCTGCTTTTATTACCATGGAAACTAAGGGTGGAGCCTGAGCTTTGTAAATAGGTTGGGATGATTTACAGCAGGGGTCAGGAACCTCTGGCTCGCGAGCCAGGTGTGGCTCTTTTGTTGATAGTATTTGGCTCGCAGATAAAACAAAATATTCTCGCTTGTTTAATCCATCCATCGATTTTTCACTGCTCATGTCCCATTCAGGGCTGCAGTTGACTGCAGGAGCAATTTTAATTGGATGATAATGGCCTACGTTGGCCGTTGCTGGTTAACAGGTAAACGCCCCCTTTTGAATCAGTCAGCTCGGTCATTAGCTCAAAGCTAATGCTTCGAGAAATAAGATGACGAAAAGAAAAAAAAGATTTCATTTTCAAGGATCGAAATAAAAACAAATCATTACAAATATCTGTAATCAAGTCAGCTGAGTGAACCGCTACACTGACAAATACCGTACCTATTTAACCCTTTCAGGGACAGCGGTTACTACAGTGGACAGTTTATCATGTTATCAGCTTACAGAGTGCACAAAAGGGTTAAAATGTGCATTTGAATCTAACAACGATGCTGGTCGAAATGCGTTTTGACCGAAGTTTTACCGCCTCTGGCCCAAAATCAGCTCGGACACACACCAGCTACCCGTGAACAGAATGAGACCAAGGGCTCTAGAAAATTCATGTTTTGAAAATGAATGTAGTTAACTTGTGAAGTGTTGTCATAAATCAAATTAATTTGAAGCAGAGTACAGTGGATCCTCGGAATTTAAATGGTTCAGCGATCAAAGAATTCTATGAACAAAAATCCTAAACCCAAATCAAACCTATTTACTTTGTTTGTAAATCGGTAATGACTTATTTCACTGTGTTTTATGTGACCTTTAAGGTTTACTATTGACGACAACAAGCTCTGATTATATTATTACTCACTTCGAGGGAAAACTGAACAGAAACCCAAAGAAATTCAGCCTCCTGCAACTGTTTTTGAATCCCGACGGTCCGCTGTAATCACGTAAGTCTTCCTCCCAATCTGCTCTGCAATGTTTCATCAAAAGCTCCTCTGTGGCATGAGACCACACGGCCATGACTTCACTCCCCATGACCCTGGTAATGGTTCACTAGTTGGCATTTCATTTGACATTTTTCGCTAGTATCCTCTGAAGACTAGGAACCCCCCCAGTAAGACTTTGCACTGATCCATCATTCTCAAGGCCATTTTTATTCCTGCCTTCCAAACATCAACTCTTTTTTGTTTTCTTTTTATTTTATTTCCATTTTGTGCAACACAATTGCACAATAGAATACAACGCATCATTATTTATGCGCAACAACCCCAAACAGTAACCACAACAAGGTGAAAGACAGCTAGAAAGAATTCTGAAAAAGGAAGTGCGCTTAAATGATACATGAAATGACTGAGTCACATATTACAGTACAGTGGAACCTCAAACATCAAATATGATCCGTTCCAAGATGCTGGACAACCGCTGATTTGTTTCAGGGTCAAACTGTCACCATCGTAAAACCATCATTTACTAATAATATTTCAAATTGACAAACAAATGTAAAACCAAACAAAAAAAAAGTGAACTGATAATAAAATGGCACCTATTCGAGGAGGCTACGCATTTACAAATAATCGAGCCTAATTGATACCCAATTCCACCTGCACTCAAAATCTGTAAAAGTGAGATGAGTAGAAGACTCCAAAAGATGACCGAGAAATTATCCTGTGGCGTGGGATGTGTTAAGAGTGATTTTCTTCCTCCCGATTTGCTTGGGCCGAAAACCATAAAAGATCAGCAATTTTAATATTTATGATTGCAAATCCTTATGTGTGTTGTCAACACTGACCTGAAGCTTATGTGGTTTCTATACAGTAATCTTATTTTTGTCTATTTATTCTCTTCTACTACTACCACTACTAGGACTGTGACTACTGCAACTCTTCTTCTTCGTATTTTACAAATGTCTGGATGCATTCCTGCACACACTGCCCCTCATAGGTCAGTCTTGGTACTACAACTGAAATGTGGTTTGGGGGAGGAGACTTAAAATTGTCGAGAGATGTGGCTGTGTGTGTGGTGTGCTGCGTTGCTCATTCGGAATACACCACACACTATAAATGCAGCAGGCACCCCACACATGCAGATTTTTTTTTTTCATCCTGTGGGGTCTCTCACATTTTAAAAATAGGTTTAGATGTTAACAAACAGTATGCGTGTACCTGGGTTGTGTCGAACTATTATCTGCTTGGAGTTCTTTAGCAACCACTGTATTTGTCATCGCTTGTGCCCTTTGGCTGTGCCAAACACACACACACACACACACACACACACACGCACGCACGCACGCACGCACGCACGCACACAATAGTAAGGCATTTGTCTTGAAGGATTTCACTTCAAGTGAAATGGCACGAAGAAACAACATGACACCGACATTTTTTGCCCCTCTTGCGAAGATAAACGTGAAGCCAAGATATGACGTCTCTCAGAATGATGCAGTATGGTATGACATAACGATTTTCCATCTGATCAGTGAGACTGATGCACCCGCTCAACACAGAGCAAGTTATTCCAGCCAAGTGGTCCGAGGAAAGTATTACATACTGTATTTCCCTACCCATAATTCTCTGTTTAACTACAAGTAAAGAAGAAGACAATACAAATGTCAACACTCTATGAAACTGACAACACAATGTGGTGACTAAACATGATTTATGCATTTAGCCTTTTAAGCAGAACTTGAATACTGTATATTGAATAGCCTCATCAGATTTCCAAACGCCTTACCGTAGGATTGGCCATTTTATATGGTTCTTGGCAAAGACAAGAGGTTGTACACGACAGAACAAAAGAAGAGCTACGTGTGGGGCATTAAAACAAGCAAAGAAAGTCAAAGAGAGCAAGAGCAGGCAGGGAAATAAAAAGGTGATTACACCCTTACAAAGGTCTGGATTTGGATTTTTGTGGTCTTGGTTGAACCTGAAGGGGATTCCTTGTGAGAAAGTGCAAGCACAAAAGCTCAGTGCAAAGATTTCTCCAGAGACACTTCATCATGCATTTCAAGAGTGCATATTGCACATAGGCTTAGTATATGCGCTCTCGGAACTGTGAGGGGGCGACTATCAGATTTGGCTGAAGTCCACTTCCAAACTTAACCGCATTGTCACAAATCATCGAAATGACCGCTTGATGTACGCAGAGATTGCAGCCCGTGGTGGAAAACGTACAGCAGCTAATTGGATATTTGACAACAGATGTGCAGTGATTGAATTTTATGAGCTCGACGAAAAATGTTTTATTCGAACATTTTAACAGTGTTGGTCTTTTAAATCTGATTAGCACTATTTGATTCTCCTCCTTTAATTATCCTTTGTCTTTCCTTGTAATATATTTTTTTAACTAATAATTTTCCCTTGACTTTCAATTTCTCGAGTCGTGCAAAACAAATCGACTCAAAACCAAGATATGTACCGTGATCTTGGGCCTACCACTACAATCCAAATGACTATATTGGACATTTATGTGGTTCCATTGTTATCACCAGCCCCCTGAAGGCAACCATAACCACAATGTGGCCCATTATGGAAACAAGTAACAAGGACAGAATAACCTAAAATTCATGTATACATGAAAAGCGAAGTATGGTAAGGGTCTGTGTCTGCCACTGAGGATTAAAGGTCCATTGAGCGCGATCTGACAGGACGCTGTGATTGACGAGGCCTCAAATAGCTGCAATACTTAGCTAGCTAATAGACTAATGAATGTTTTACTGGGGTGATGTGACTGCTGCTGTCCAGCTGTGGTTGCTGAAATTCGCACACCACTGCGTGTGTGTATGTGTGTGTGTGTGTGTGTGTGTGTGTGTGTGTGTGTGTTGAGCAAAGCTCATCTTAAGTCACACTGAGGGGCCAATTGGTGGCCTCAACACTCTACTGTTTGAGCTTGGGGTTCGGGTTGTGGTCTGCTGGGGGAGGTGGCGGAGGAAACTGGGAGACGGGATGTGGGGGTGACAGGCAGTGGTGTCAGATGACACAACCGTTTTAAGAATAGATCCCAGTGGTCGGCTTCTACTAACTGTTGTCTATGAGGGTGGGATCTTTTTTTTTTTTCTTAACAAGTCATTTAGCATACCTTCACCAGTGCTTCCAGATGTGCTAGTTGGAGCATGAGAACTGAGAGAACGATTTTCAGTTTTCAGGAGACGGGCAGGGGGTGACGGGGGCTGTTTCATGGCTCCTCCGCAAAAGTGTGAAACATTTCAACGGATCCTGTTGTGTCTTCACTTGTCGCCCCAGCCGCGGCTGATTGATGGCCTTGTTGACGGCTGCTAGCTTCGGGCTACAGAAATGGATTAATTCAATTAGCATAACACAGAGTCGCACCTTTGTTTCCGATGTGATATTGTGCTCGGCAGTCCATCTCCATAAGCCTGTTAAAGAGCGGAGCGTCCCAGCCTTTTGTCAGCAGTCACCTTTCATTGTGTGTTGGATTACTGCCCCCATGCAGCGGGGTTCACAGGTCAGGCGCTCATTTTCTACATCAGCAAAAAAAAAAAAAAATCCCCAAATGTAGCGCAGTTGTAATGCCTGTGTATGTTAAACGTGAAAAGTATTTGAGGAACTTAAACGCGCAGTACAGTATCCTAATAAGAGACTATTCTCCTGTACAACATCTGCCTTGCTTCACGGCGAGGGGTTTGGCCGCAGAGGAAGGGTTAAAGTAACCAGCAGGAAGACGGGTGCAGGGCTGGGCCTCAACAAGTGAAGGAGGGAGGGCGGGAGGGAGTCAAGGGAGGGCTGTATAAAAGTAACAGAACACAAGTGGTGCTTTATCCATCCTGCTCTGGGTAAGAGGAAACCCTAAGCGGCTGCTGAACCAGCTTTACCTCTACTTTTCCCTCCATTTTTGACCACCGCCTTCGGACCCGTGCTCATGGCAGCATCATCTCCTCAGAGAGCTGGCCCAGCCGTCAGCACGCTGGCCTTGGCATTTCTCCTCGCCGGTTCAGTCATGATTGGTGAGTAATGGATTTAAATGCTACAAAGTGGAGGAAAGTTTGCTCAACTAGTTAAGATTGCAGGGTAAGTAGAGTGCTGAGGGGCAGGGGGAAAGTTAGAGAAGTTGGAATGGTCTTCGAGTTTGAATCCAGCATTCAGTCAAAATTTTTTTTTACCTGATGTGTGGTGTGCAGTTCGTTTCAACTTTTTAAAAGGGTTTGTTTTCGGGTGAGGTTTTTTTGACCAACAAGACGCGGTGCTCCAAGGCAAACAAAGGGATCATCTGAGTGACCAATGTGGCATTTAAAACTGACGATTTGAATTAGTTTTTTTTTTCATAATGCTTTAAACTCGTTTATTACTATTTTGATTTTGCTGATTTATCACTACTATGTTTCGATGAATGAAAGATGGAGCCTAGAACTACATAGTGCAGGAGGCTTTAGTGAGACGTCCAAGTTGACTGATGGAGTTGAACGATCTGGAAAACTGGATACGGCTGGCATGCTCAAGTTCAACTGAAGAACTTATACAAAAGTTGTTCCGAGTAGATTCAGCGGCATCTTCATTCATTTTCCTCTGCAACATCAGAGGGTGACCTCGTGCTCATTTTCGTCACCAGTGTTTGCACAATGAATTTTCTCCTGTCAACATTCTTTCCAAAGCTGCTTCTATTCCATCCAAAGCTCACGGACAGATGAGGTCCCGGATTATCAAAACTTTCACAAAGCCAACACACCAAGTAAGGAAATAAACACTTTTTAAGTATCTCTGTGATCAAACCCTTTCCCAAGGGAGTTACTTCAACGGCGCGAGGGAGCTACAGACATGGCGATTTGATGAAATTCCGGTTCCCCCATTAATCATAAAATGAAGAGCTGGAACGTCACTCACAAATAAAATGTGACTGAGCCAAGTTTAAATCAGTGAAAGTCTTACGTATCAAATTGGAGCGAAGAGCAAACCAAACCTCTCTGTTGTGGTCTTAAATTAATCACACACTGGATGACTTAATTCAAAGCGGGTGTCTTCCACAGCTCATGAGCTCATCCACGTAGGAGAGCTTTGAAACAACACCAATGCCGCATGGCTTCTCAAACAGAAACAAAAAATGTTTGATTTCGATAAACATGAACTGCTGCACACAAAGTTACATCATCTATCATACATACGGAAAATCCTCAAGTGTTGCTTTACATTTGAACCAAACATCTGCTTCCTGAGCTCGACTCAAATAACCAACTGAATTGTCTCGTCAATTTGGGCAACTGCGCTGTATCTTACGTAAGCAAAGAAGGACGAGCTTACTCAATGGGTGAGATTTATGGTCCTCGCAGAGTATAATGGTGACTGGGACAAATGGAGAGAGGGAGAGAGAGAGAGAGAGAGAGAAAGAGAGACTTTTGGAAGTATAATGGGCTCTCATGGGAAAACTCCTGTCGTGAAAACATTCGCCAGACTTCTTGGGGAAAAACAGGGAACATAAGTGAAAGATATTTCGTGTGTTTGGATAGACCACCTAACATATTTCACCACAACACAGTATAATGTCTGTGCGCACTGTGAAGTGGTTTTAGGGCGGTTCTTCAGTCCGCCAGAGAACCCAGCCCATCTTCCTGCCGAGGTAGGAGCATGTAATTATGCTAAACATTGTTTGGATAACTACGATAGAAGTTGCACATTCAGTCAGATGTCAATGGCACCATAACACCACCATGATAAATTGAGATCTCAGTGAAATCCAGAGTGTAACTTGTTCCCAAATGGGAAGGGGTTTCTAATGCCCTCCATGCATTAGACCTGGAAATTTTACATCAGTAAAAACAGTCTTGCTTTACAGTTCAATTTTCAGCAAGCTATACCTAACAGTTTAGTACAGTACCAATTTTTTGGACTTTGCATTGTTCCCAAAATATACCGCACCATTCCACTTTTCAACACTTTTGGTTGGCATATTGGTCCAAATAGTAGGCTTAACTTTGACATACTGTTGATTGTTCAGTTAGTTGTCAATTCCATGTTACATTGTAAATGTAACTCGTGGACTGGGAAGACAAGAAGCGGTAGATTAAAAAAAAAAAAGGGGGTTTTCAACAGAATGAGGGATTTACACGCTGTTTATATTTAATGTTAGCATGCGCTTAAATCATTGGCGAGTTATGCACTGAGGTGCAGATATGATGTGCTAGTTATGTTGTTGATGCAGACAAGTCTTAATTCCGAGATCCAATACCATGCAAGCTGAATTTGTTTCCTGACAAACATCAAAACATTTGAATCTTCAATCATTGAGCATTGTACTGTTCCTTCTGGTGTGTGTCTTGACCACCCGGATACTGTATAATAAGGATACACGGACACAATCTCTGCTTCTCAGTAAGCCACACTAACATTAATCATTCTTTGCAAAGGAATTATACGCCTGTCTACGTGTGTTGCTTCAAAGTTTGTGTTCACTGTTTCAAGGGTTATAACGCAGCAAGACCGATCCTATTCGTTGGCCCGTCAACAGGAGTTTGTATTGCTTGTTATATTTTGAAAAATTGCTGCCAAACTCCTCCTTGTTACGAAGTGAGTTGAGTTCACTGCCTCCATAAAGCGATTGTATCGGAAATTTTTGCTCGGAAGTCAAAGCATTAAAAACAAACAACGACAAAAAAAAAAAAAAAATCGCCCAATCAAAGGCTCATATTGACTTCAGTCAGGTCACTTATAGAGCAAGGCACCACTAAACAAGCACCGCCCAGAGTGGCATTTATTTATTTATTTATTTATTTTGCTTTTCCGCAGTCAAAACACAACCCTCCATTCAAAGCCGGTATTCCATTGAGGGACTTGTTTGCTAAGGTCGCAAATGTTGATTTGTCATCAGAGTTCGTTCAAGATCGCAAATGTTTGCCAGATGTTCGCCGACAGTTTTAAATGTTTTTTCTTGTCCAAGAAAAACGGTCGGTGACCATTCAAACTGCTGGCGACCTTGAATGAACCCTGAAGAAAAATCAACACCCGCTCCCGTCGCAAAAGTTTGGATATGGGCTTAAGGTCTGGTATGACACAGGGTAGTTTGATACCCCTGCCCATTGTTTGGTCAACAAAACTGTCACCTCCGTGTAACAAAAGGAATGGAATGAGCACTAAACAAAGAAAAGCACTTGAGTGTTTACACCTGTTTGGATACTCATCAGAGGAACCTTTAGTGTTCCAAAATGTAGCATGGGAGCTGAACTGGTGAAAGGTGGCTTTAATCAAACACTTTCATTCTTTAAATGAAAGTTGTAAACATGGGCAGGAGGCGTGCGTCGTAGATGGCAAAGTTAAGTCCTTAAAACACAAAATGATGTTTCAAATTCTTTACACAGACTGAGGAGCCTTAATGGATTGTTATAGCCAGCGCTGCGCCTGGATGACGACACGAGTAGTTACTTTTTTGAAAATGGACTACGTCTCTCTCTCATTCTGTGTGTAATCAATACGAAGCCTCAGAGCATCTGACTCACAGTGGAGGCGAGCCGATCCTTCAAATTTCTACCTGCACACAATGAAATCCAACAGGCCTATTCATAAAATGCAAAAGAAAATGTGAGCCTATGGACTGCAGAAGGGGGAAGGGTGGGGTGCACCAAGAACAAGCCAATTGAAAGCAGATGTCACATTTCCTGATTGTGACCCTCAAAAGCAGACAGCACACTTTTGATAAGCAGCCCTCGGGGTCGCCTCGGCCGCAGCTGGGCAGCACCGGGTGAAATATGCGCTGCTTCCACGGACCTGATTGAAACCATGAACGCCCGTTGTTTTTCTGCCAAGGGGAGAGGACGGGACGGCCATCAATCGCTCTGACAGGAATGAAGGGGAGGAAGGGGGTAGAGGTGGGGGGTGGGCTAGTCGGCATAGTCAAGATACTGGGGGTCAGCAGCCTGTTGTTTCAAAGAGGGTAGAGTTGCAGAGCACGTTTAACCCAAAGGGACGAGGCTCTGGTGTCACATTCCTCGGCATGTTCTTAATTCTACAACCGAGTTTCATTTGGAGGAGCGGGATATGACATCACGCAGCAAGTGTTCATTTACTTATTATTTAATAGGGGTGACTTGGGAAAAGGCAATATTTTAGATAACCTGTTTAGTGCTAATGTGAACTGAAGAGAGAGAGAGAGAGAGAGAGAGAGAGAGAGAGAGAGAGAGAGAGAGAGAGAGAGAGAGAGAGAGAGAGAG